AAAAAAAACAAAAAAAAAAAAAAAAAAAAAACAAAAAAAAACCAAAACAGGATGAGGCTGACTGCTTCAATGCTGGCTTTGTTCTTTTGGTTCTTTTCATTCCCAGTTCTTTATCACAGAAAGTTCACCTAAGTCAACCAAAACAAGGCTAAGATTCAAAGGGCTGTAGCATCATCATCTCAGGGGAAAATGAAACTCCGGGAGGATGCTGTGGCATAATTTTTCAACAGGATGGAATTCCTATCCACCGAAAAGCTGCCCACCAGCAGGGTGAGGCTACTCAAACACCGCAGTGTCAAGTAAACCCCAAATTTCATTGGTTGAACTTTCATTTGTTTCACTTCAACACCCCACGATGTTAAGCATCTCCACATGTGGCCTTCAGGCTCACCCTGGCAAAAGATCTGCAGGGTTTCACCCTGGCTCTTGAATGCTTTAGTCTTGAAGTGACTGACACACATTATTCATGGCTCATTGGTTAGAACTGCTCACAGGGCTCCACCCAAGTGCAAGGGGCTGGAAAATACTGAGGTACAACAGGACACTAGAGGAACGGTGCCCGCACTTAAGAAGCTGTCTTCTGCCACAAAACACAGCTTATGACCCATGTTTATGATGCAGAATAGGCTGTCCACATTCATATGGGTGAGATAAGTCTCTTTCCCATGCTCTAGGCTCCAAAGCTAAAACAGCAAATTAAAAAAAAAAAAAAATCTGTAGTTTTTCATTAACTCCATTCCTATATTATACACATAAATGTAGAAAGAAAGATAGCATATCACATTTAAATTAAGCCTATCATCTGGGTAAGAAATAAAAACAATCTGAAATATTTTTGGCATGTACCATTAACCATGTGAGTAAATTCTTCACTAAAACTGTGGTAAATTAAGCTTTACATGTTTAACTTCTTGAAATTCCCTAGTATGGGTTTTGCGGATTTGGGACAGAAAGACCACTGAGCATCTCTAAGCGTCTGCATGTGCAGCCACCTGACTTCAGTGGGCTCCTCACCCTGATATGATACATCATCACATACTTGAAGAATGGAAATGTTCTTGGTGTTCCGGCAAGGCTAATGCCACCCCAGCACAACCAGTGCCAGAGTAAAGGTTAGCATATATTCCTAAGACACAGTGGGAACTTGTTAAAAATAATTCCTTAGAATGCATTAAGCAAGTACTCATAAGCTAGGGTTCCCTCATTTTGTGAACTAAATAAATAGACTATTGGATGCATAGGAACACTTTGAAACAATACAGTTGTTCCCATAAAACATACATTTTCTGTTATTTTATGGGCGAGGTTAAATGGAATGTTTATCAACTGATAAACATTAAGCAAATCTGCTCTATGTATTTTTGTTACAGAACAGTATCTTTTAGTTTGTAATGGTGATGAAATGTCATAACCTTTTTGTGTCCTCACATGCTTAGAATCAATGTGTTTCACTTATTTCTGTGGAGAAAGAAAAAAGAATAAAACATGACATATCTAGAAATATAATAGGGTAATGAGGCCTCCACTAAAAGAGACAGTTAAGAAGAAATGCAGTTTCTGAGTCAAGATGACTAATTCAAGTTCCAGAATACAAAAGATATCGTGCTGTTTCAGTATTACAAACAAATAAAATAAGCCGACAAGAATCCTCCTTTTTGCTTCTGAAAAAAGAAAAATGCACCTTCCTGCTTAATGTAAATATCACAAAAGCTTGGCCAATGGTTTCTATATTAAAAAGACTGTTTTGGGTCATCAGATAACTACATCAACGCAATGTGGGAAGAAATTTTTTTAAATGAATAAAAATATATACTGATTTTCTTATATGTGTAGCCAAAGTATCAGCATTTTCCATATAGACCATCCAATATTTTGCTGCATTTTAATTAAGGTGTCTAAACATTATCACAAAGAACTGCAAATTGGTCAGAGCATGCAGTAAGGAAAATTAAGCTCTAAAGGCTTTTTATCACCATATTTCAGGAACCAAGGGTGTAAAATGTTCTAATTTGGGATATATTAAAAGCCATAAAAGGTCTTTCAAAAAGATTAATGGTACTTTGCTTGGATTTAAGATAAGGGCTTTAGCTGGTTGGAAAAGCAGGGCCCTGGCTGGACCCTTGAGGCATTCATCTTTACAGCCACTTGGAAGATTTGTAAAAGCGTCTGCATAACCTCAAGCAAATGCGTGGCGACATTTTTTTAATTCCTTTCAATTTTACAGGTTTAGCATGCGTAAATCATATTGGGTTGTAAAATAGATATAATGGCACATCCTTATGGTACAGATTTTTACAGACAAACTTCAAAATAAAGTTAGTTTTTCTTGCAAAACATCATTACAAAGTTCGCCGATAATCATTTGAAACATCTGATTCAAACAGCTTAATCTAGCACAACTATAAACTTCTTATCCATTTCATAAAATATTCTACTCATCTCAGAATTACTAGCTTGTAAGAGATTTATGAAGTTTTGCTCCCTTTTGAACACTTTCAAGGCACTTATTTAAAAATACCAATTATCATACTTTAACTTTTTATGGAATAATAGGTCTCTATGAAAAATATTTATGCCATTCCCTTTTGTTCTTTAATTAAATGAAAACAGATGTTTTCTGAAGTAAAGCGGAACCATTACTGGAGTACTTAAAGTGTTAAGGTCTTTAATTTTTATATCAGTTTAGTCGACAATTCCTGATTGTCTTTACTCAAGCTCAACATTAATGTCAAGCAAGTTACCTAGGAGACGAAAGAGATCAAAGAGACAAAAACCCCTCCAATGTCTGATTAATCAAGCCTGCAAACAGCTTATTTCTTTTAGCCTGCATGCAAGTATGAAAATGAGATTCTGGGAGCTGAACATTGTGCAGATTTGTTCATTCTTATCAGAACAAAGCCAGCGGCAGCTTATTTCATGGATCATTGGCACTGTCATCAGTGCTACACAGAACGGGTGACAGCTCCTCATTTTGAGGCTTGAACAAAATTAGCAAAAAGTCGGCACAAATTAGCCTCTCATCTTTTTAGTAATATGACATTATTCATTTACTTTTTATCCAATTTTTAATTTTTTCCTTGTCAGCTATCCCTTTTTAGTGTCTCTTGCAAGGCATCATAAAATGCCTTCTAACAACAAGCAAAGAAAGCCAAAGTTGAAATAACATGCAAAGTTCAAGAAGCAAACAAGAACAAGCACTTTCCAATGACTGGTAATGCTGTGTTTTTAAAAGTGACTTTCAAAACTTTGCATTAATAATCGATTGAAAACAAAAAACAAT